TGAGGGGGGGGGGGGGCCGGGCGCGTGGGGAGCGCGCCGCGAGCTCTGATTGGCCCGGCGGAGTGCGCGTCACGCGGAGGGCGGGGCGGGGGCGCTCCTCACAGCGCGCGGGGTTGCGGGGCAGGTGCGTGGGCCGGAGCTGAGTCGCTAGTGCCCTGTCCCGGGTCCGGCAGGAAGGAGAGGACAGAGGTTAAAACCGACCTGGTGACCTCTAGAGCCCCGTCTGGCCGTGCCCCACCAACTTCGGAACCAGAGAGCACGCGAGCGTCACAGGCTGAGGGGAGGCCTGGAACACCCCAGTGCCCCGGCACCCCGGGGTAGCGGCGGGCTTTCGGTGCCGCGCAAGGTCCGGCTCTGCGTTCGCCTTCGCCCTGGAAGGACTGGAGGTACCCCGCTTCACAAGCGAGGAGCCCCAGGCGGGACTTGAACCTGGACCGCCGTCGCTAGCACCCCCGCGGCAGGCGTGGGCCTCCTCGTCAAGGACCGGCCACCTCATTCTCGAGGCGGCAAGGAGCCTCACGACGCCGCCTCCGGATGCCGACAGTTCCCGGGACGCCCTCCTCGTCCCCGCCTCCACTTGACGCTGCTAGAACACTCCAAAAGAATTCTCAGGTCCGCGGGGACAAAAACCAGGCACCGGATGCCGACTGCACGGAGGGAACACCCGCGCAAACGAGGTGCGCCGAGGGGAGGCCGGAGTCACGAGGCCACTCACGGAGCTCTCCATGCGTGTCTCGCGGCAGGCCTCTAGGCGGTGACCTTATTCAGCAAGACCTGTGCTTGATGTGGATCATCGGATGTAGTCATCTCAGTGGTGCCGCGTAGTGAAAAGTGCCCCGTCTTTGTACATGGGGCACCCACTATGTCCACCTTCTCATTTCGAGATTACTGTCCTCCAAAGTTTTGGAAATAACAGATAATGTACAGAAATCCCAAATTTGCAGGAGCAAATTTGTTTCAAAATCTTGTCTGTGGCTTTCAAGCAGTTCAGAGCGATTTTGATGCACAGCTACACAGCCTGAACTGGTATACTGCACGTTATAAATGGAAATCTTTATTTTTTTCTCTGTAGTTTTAAGAAATTCTGTTGCAAGGTCATTAATCACATTATCCATTATACCAGAAACAAATGGATTTGTCACTTGTGCACAGAAGCTGAGGTTGATTTTGAAAACAAATTGTTTCAAAATAAATGAAATTATTATGATAATATAAAATGGACTGCAGTGATTAATCTCTGGAAACCAAATTCTGACCTGCTTTGCACTTCAAACAATAACTTCTGTTATGTAAATAGTTGTGGGGTTTTTGAGGACAATGTTGTTAAATTACAAGAAAAGTTCTATTCATGAACTTAGAGAAGGGAACCCTAGTCTACTTGGAAGCCAAAGCAGAGAACAATGGAAGTAATGACTCAGGTAAGAATATTCGTCAGTAGCAAAGGTATGGGATGGGAGATGGGGGGAGGGAGTTGAATAGTGGGCTAATTTGTTGGTCTGTATCACCAGGAAGTATCAGTTTCACCTTGTAAAAATGACCTTGAATGGAATCATTCTTCCTACCTGAGCTCTTTAAAAACTCCAAAAGTTCAAATAAGCCCACAAACTGCAATAATGCAGGCAGCAAGGTTGCAAAGCACTTTATAAAATGCTACGTTTTAGATGACTTCATAAGACACCAAATTTAGACATGTTCAGAATTATCCAGACAAGGATATGGCTTCTCAATTTTTACTGATGTTGGTTTTTAATCATAGACCCTAACTGGATGCAACAATATTGTCATTCCTCTCTTGTTCCACATGATCCTTTCTTGGCATAGACTGATACATTTACAACTACTTGAAATAGAGGCTTGTTCCTTTAATAATTAAATAAAATCAAGTGTATTTCCAGAATTCTAATTTCCTCCTGAACAAAGAAAGCAGTATGCCTGAAAACTTAAAAATTACATACATCCCAAAATAATTATTCTTAAATTTCTTAAATGAAAGTCCAATATGAGAAGCAATCCGTAAAACTGCTAAAACAAGTCACTCAGCCTTGGTGGCATGGCAGTAATACAACACTCCTTGATGTAGGAGCCACATGAGAAGGCACACATTTGCATTTCAAGGTCTCCCTATGCACTTCTGGAATGCATGTGTGCAGCTCATGACCCTGGCTGGCTGAGGCTGGTGGGGACTGTGGTGAAAACCCTACTGGGGTGCCCCTTTAATGCTCTCTTGCATATGCAAAACAAAAGAACACATAGAAGGACAAAAAAAGAAATTGCCAAATCCCAGAGAGAAGGATTCAGGCATTTCAGACATTATAACTAATATATAATTAGAGGGCTTAGGGTATATGCTATTTTAGGGTTTTATTTTATCATCCTCATGCAGGAAAAAATCTGCTGGCTTAGAAATGAGGAGGTATACATTCTAGTATAAACTCTGTCACTAGCTAAGTGGTTTGGGACAAACCATTTCTCCTTTCTGGGCTGGCCTCAGTCTCCTTAAGTATATGATAAGTATATGATAAGACTAGACTCTCCAAAGGCCTTTCTTGCTATATCCAAGAGCTTGGTTGTTTGGGAAAAGAGAAATGACTGTTTGATATGACAAGTGTTTTAGAAACTTGTTTCTTTCTGTGTGTGTTATGAATCACCTGTAGCCAAGAGTGAGCATGGAAAATCAGGGTGGTTGTGTAATACAGCAGGTAAATCTCTACACAAGGACACGTTATAGCTGCGGTTGAAACCTGTTCTTAACACCATGAACACTCACCCTTAATTTATTCATAGCACAACAATCTTGTCTCTCTGAAAGTTCCTGCCTATGTGACTCATGCTACCCATGAGGATGGCTATGTGAGTGACAGAGACCAGGGCCCACAGATTTTCCTCCACTTGAAAAGTCGTGCAGATCTGCAGCAGTGAATCAGCTCCACCGAATCTCTTAGTGTAACTGATGCTGCAGCATAGTAACCACCCACTCATTCACTATGTCTGCTGGTCCAGGTCAACTAAGAGCCCAGAATGGACTTAAACCGTGTGCTGGGAATCCTGATGAGCTCATTCCGCCTCCATTTTATTGCCCCATCTGTTTGGTTGCCTTGTTCTTCTCACATGCATTTTTATCTTGGTCTTCTGGGAAATGTGCTAATTTCCACCATGGTATCAGAAGATCCCATCTTATACTTTCTTACATTTCCTCTGCTCTTGCTCAGTGCCACTTGGGAAGTCAAGAATGAGGATGTGAGCTCAGTAACACAGAATCCAAGGACGGCTTCCTGCAAACGTCACTCGGGAACTGTCCTCGGTGCTGAATTTCAAACGGAAAGGCGTAAAGAGGAGTGGAGGGGAGTGTGTGGGATCCAGTGCAAATACAATAGAGTTTGGCAGCACCAGAGGGTCCTGACTAAGCACTCTTTTATGCATAAAAGCTAATGCCCTTTCTAAAGTGGATTTTTACTATACTAAATGGTATGGTAGAGTACAAAGAGCTTGAGTTGAAGTCACATAGCTCTTGATTCAGACCCAATTTTATAATTTGCTCTTGGCCTTGAGAGAATGGCTTAATCTCTCTGAGCCTCAGTTTCTCTCCTCTAAAGTGAAAAAGCTAAATTTACTGTGAACTATAGTTATCAGGTTTGATTGAGATAATGTATTTGAGCATGTTTAGCATATGGCAGTCGAACAGTACATGCTTCTTTTCTTTTCTTTCTTTCCCCCCTGAATTCAGAGCTGAATTATATAAGTTCTTTTTCAAAACAAAAATGTTAAATTTCCTTCAGTTCCTACAATATCCCTTATAATTAAATAAGGTAATAATTCCTGAAGGGGGGGGAACCAGGTCAACTTCCTTTGAGGGAAAACAAAGAACAACAACAAAAAAAAAACTTTGGGGAAATGTATTGGTGTTTCAGCAAGAGGAAGATACACTATTTCTGTGGGATTTGTTTAAAAGGTAAAGCATGGTATTACTGAACTTTAATCAGAGGATTCAGTCCAAGCACTGTTTCACAGCTACATTATCTTAGAGTAAATGACTGCTTGCCTGGTCCCAACTAAAAGATTTGTAATATAATATTTAAGATTTCAGTGATTCTCTGTTAGTATTTCAGTGGGATCCCAATAGATATAAGCCCCCAGATAAAGCAAATGTTCTTTCTTCAGTGCATCTGGATTCTTCTTGAATAACATATTTCTGGTTTAATTTTGGGAGCATGTGATATGAGACACTGAGTTTCAGGAAGTGTTCTTGTACAAGTATATGATCAGAGAGCTGAGCCATGATTTGAGGGAATTGGTTGCTAATGTTATTCAACTGATTTCAACAAACAAAAAAGGCTTTTTTGATAGCATTCTCTGGTTTTAAGCATTTGAAGAAGTTACTGGAAATATCAGGGATAATGTCTTAGCTCAATTTTTTAAAGTAAAAGGTAGAGGTGAGGGGAGGCTGGAGGATAGGGACCTTGTCTAGTTTATTTGCTTTGAAGAAACTTCGTAGGAATGTATCTGTAATTTCTCTGTATTAGGAAAACACTAAGTTCCTTACCTTTATACAAGTTACAAGTATTGAAACTGACCTATTTATGATAACAATTCATAGCTCTATATTTCTGTGTGGTTTAGGCACATAAGTAGCTTGCATGACTCTTTAAAAGTGAGAATTGGAAGAGATTTTATAGAATTTTGAAGATGAGGAAACAGTCTAGGAAAGATTAAAAGGCATGTGGCTACTTAAAAGCAGGGCCAAGTAGAACTCAAGCCCTCTGTTTCCCAGTAAAGGGCTCTTTTCCCTGT